GTTTGGGGGTGATGCAAGCTATTTTTTGTGACCATTTGTATGATTACAAGTGTGATTTATTTATTAGAGTAAAATGTTACTGTTATACTTTTCTAATGAATGCTTTCAAACTAAAATATCATGTTTTAAAACAACATTTTTATTAAAATAGCATGCCACATAGCTTAAGAATTGTATATGGTGGATAGTTGTATGAGTAATGCTAAGTACATAATAATGTACATAGGGGTGTACATAATACTCACATTTAGTGGGACCTACAAAAAATAAAAAATCAAGTAGAACCTACTCCATGTGAGTGTTATGTACATTTCTACGTACATTTATTATGTACTTGTAGCGTTTTTTTATAGTTGTATATATGATGGACGGTGATCATATTACTTCAGTCAGATTTTTACTCAAATCACATGTATGAGCTAGTATTATTTATATAATATAGCACCCAGGATGCTCGATGAACCGGCTAGAGTGGTTGGTCAGGTCATGGCCGGTTCAAGGGAGCTCAACCTATTTTTAACATATACCTATTAGGGAGCTCGCGTAGGCAGCTCGTGTTACAGGTTGGTCCAGTTTGGACATCTCAGAGAACCTAAGGAGTTCGGATTTTTGATGGGATCTCTTGACCCGTAGGCCGTAAAGGTGGATGTGGTGGTTGTGACCTAGGTACAACTTACGTTAGGTTTAAGGAGGTCGCGGTTATGACTTGAAGACCTAAGAGTCGTATTGTAAGAGGGAAAGAGTCATTCATAGATGGAAAGTGTATCTTGCTAAGGAGTCTTAGATTCTAGAGACGCGATGGATTAGATAGGTAGATATTAGAGGATCTCTTTTCTAACAAGGACTCACTTGGAGGTCAAAATACTCTAGGCATAGGGATAACTAGGTTCTTCGACTTTATACATCGCATACACGCACGATGAGCATATATACTATCTATTCTCTCACGAGCAAGGTACTGACTTGAGCGTCGAAGGTTTTCCGTTGAGACCCTCTCCAGCGTCTTGCAGGTCATCAGCGCTCTGAGCTAGTGGTTATTCATGAGATCGTGCTTTCAACTCAGTCCAAGACAATTTGCATATCACTGCATATGTTGTCTCAAATGAAACAAGATACCATTCATCAACATAACACCAAAGAATTTATTTTTCATCAGTCTAGATTAAACACCAAGTTTTTTCTCAATCAACGTATAATATCTTATTTCATTATATTTTTAGGAAGATTTCACATGATTGCACTGCACTTGTTAGATTTTTTTCACGGTTAAATCAATACATACTTTTCAACGTCAACTGACAAGTTCTCGGTCCAACCGATTGGACCAACCAGTTCGATAAGGTTCTCTAAAGCATGAATTTACCATTAATGATATTGATATAAGAGATAAAATATATAAATAATTTAATACTAGGGCAAAAATATATTTTTACCTTATTAATTTTTTTTTCCCCTCCAAAAAATTTTTTACCTTACTAGGGGCTGGTGTAAGTAAGCCACAGCAGCCCACGGGACCCATTTTATGCTCCCTCCTTTAAACATGTTTTCCCCGATTAACTACTGTTAACCGAATCCGAGCCGCCGCCCCGCCTCCGCAGCCGAACCATGGTTCAATTCCACGAGCACATAATCAGCGATCTCCTGGAGGATCCCACCGGCGGCCTGGTTGTCCTCTCCGCCGGCCTCGGCCTCCCCAAGCTCGTATCCTCCCTCCTCAGCCTCCACGACCCTTCCCAGGGCTCTGTCCTCATCCTCAACGCCTCCCCTTCCCAGAAGAGCTCCATCGACGCCGCCTCTCGATTCGCCTCCATCACCACCGACCTCCCCGCCCACCACCGCCTCTCCCTCTACACCTCCGGCGGGGTCTTCTTCATCACCGCCCGCATTCTCATCGTCGATTTGCTCACTCAGCGCCTCCCCACCACCTCAGTTGCCGGAATTATCCTCCTCAACGCCCATTCGCTTTCGGATACTTCGACTGAGGCTTTCATTGTCCGGATTATTCGGTCGTCCAATCGTTCCGTCTATGTTCGAGCCTTCTCCGACCGGCCCCACGCAATGGTTTCTGGATTTGCGAAAGCAGAGCGGATCCTCAAGTGCCTTTTTATCCGTAGACTCCACCTCTGGCCTAGATTTCAGGTATTCTTTTGGCAAATGCGGTGTAGTTTGGGTCATGATGCCCTTAGTATGCTATCTAATTGTTCTTTATGGATGTATTTAGGTGTATGTTTCTCAGCATTTGGAAAAGGATCCTCCAGAGGTGATTGACATTCGGGTCCCAATGTCACCATACATGATTGGTATTCAGAAAGCTGTGATTGAAGTGATGGATGCGTGTTTAAAAGAGATGAGGAAGACTAACAAGGTTGATGTGGAGGATTTGACAGTGGAAAACGGGCTGTTTAAATCGTTTGATGAGATTGTAAGGAGACAATTGGATCCTATATGGCATACATTAGGGAAGAGGACGAAGCAGCTTGTTTCAGATTTGAAGTCATTGCGGAAGCTGCTAGATTATCTTGCCAGGTATTTCCGGATATGTCCTCTTTTCTGGCGATTTTAATCGACGGTAGTAAGATTAAGAGAAGATAAACTCTTCTATTGATGTATAGTGGAATCATATAGATAAGAGTTATGGTATCATGTATAATCTAGCTATTCTCAGTTTATATATGCTGTTAATTTGTCCAATACTGAAAGCTGATTGTGGATAGAGCACTTTTCTTTTACTAGAGTTATGTAGATAGGAGCTATCGCTTCACAGCTTTACAGCTTTTTTCTCGCGAATATGCTGTTAAAGCTGACTGAATCTCTTTCCTTTTTTCCGTTAGAATGTAATGTACAACCATTCCGGGTGGGAGCAATTCATTTGAGATGGTTGCTTCAATGTAGATGTAGATTGGGAATCTCATGTACCGCATTCTTATATGGATGCTTAATATATCTTTATTGGGAAATGACGAATCCCTTTGAACAAGCGATTTGTCAAAAAGGTGGTATGTTTACTACTGATATATTCTTTTGGTATGAATCGGGTAGAATGAAAACGGTGGCCAATGTCATTTTTCTTATTTCGGGACTGTGTTAAAACTTTGATCCTAGGTGGAAAATTAATAGAAGATCACGAGTTACTAATGTAATTATATATATAAAGACGAATTATATACATTGCTTTATTGCACTAATCTGTGTACATGCATCCTTTTTTTTTTTTGTGTGTAACATGTTCTTTTGTTGGAAAAGTATCCGACATTTTACGGCCTTCTGACCCATTTATTTCAAGTTCCAAAATATTCTATCATGCCTAACTATTTGAAATTTGTGCTTTGAAAGTTGTGGTTCCTGAGGGGCATTATCTGGCTGATGTCTATGGACAATTCGGCATGCCCCTAATAATTGTTAGAAATCATAGACCTGCTGTACTCCATAGTGAGGCACTGATAGAGAAGCTGACATCCTCAAAAGAAACCAAGATTGTCCCGTTCTAGTTTTACAGCAAGGATTTTGAATTAATGGATACACAAAGTAATAATTAACGTCTCTGTTTCTATTACATCATTCCTCGATGGCTTTACAAGTAATGGTGAGTTTTAATTTTCTTTTCTTGTAAACAGATATGATGCTGTGACTTATCTGAAGTATCTTGACTCGCTTAGAGCTTCAGAGAGCTTTCGATCTGTTTGGATCTTTGCTGAGTCTAGCTACAAGATTTTTGAGTATGCTAAGAAGCGAGTTTATCATTTTGGTCGGCCAAATAGTGGAAAATCTGTTGAGACGAGTAAGAGTGTTGTCGTCAGGAAGAGAAAACAAGATGGAAAGATCAAGGATACAGATGGTGAATTCCATCTTCTGTAGCACTTCTTTTCTATTGAATTGACATAGTTACATAAAATCCAATTATCATTAAGAAGTCCCTCGAGATTTGACACACCTTATTGAAGTTTGCATTTCTTATGAGTAGTTCTTGTTGAGGGTGCAACTTGTAGTCTAGAAATAAGCATCAAGGGAGGAGTACATTGAGATATTAAGATAAGTACTTTTTTTTTTTTAGTTTCTTTTATATATTTGTTAGACTAAGGCCTGAGAGTGACTTTGTTTCTATAAAAACCCAAAAACTTGGGTGTTTGTTTAATGATTTTATCTGTAGAATTTAGCTTTAAACCAAGATGCAATATTTATTTGTATCTTCTAGTTTGATAGTGTCGCATTTAATGAGCATGCAGCCAGCATTTCAGCTGCTACAGCTACAATAGTTCTCGACTTGCACTTATCATCTGAATATGCAGGTTCGACAGCAACTGCGGATGGTGGGGCTGTTTTGGAGGAAATTTTGGAGGAACCACCAAAGTGGAAGGTCTTGCGAGTGAGTGAGTGAGTTCGTTTTTTTTTTTT